CCACGGTGGGTGGATCATGAGGTCAGGAATTTGAGACCAGCATGGCCAATATGGTGAAACTCCGTCTCTAGTAAAAATACAAAAATTAGCTGTGCATGGTGGCATGCACCTGTAGTCCCAGCTACTTGGAGGCTGAGGCACAAGAATTGCTTGAACCCAGGAGGTGGAGGTTGCAGTGAGCTGAGATTGCGGCACTGCACTCCAGCCTGGGCAACAGAGTGAGACTCCGTATCAAAATAAATAACTAAATAAAAATAAAATAAAATATTACAGGCTTCACAGCAAAGTCTAGTCAACAGAACTGAAATTCAAGTCCCCCCAATCACTCCCTATGTGTCTTTGATAAGTTACTCCTCCTCCCTGGTCCCCTGTCTACGTCTATCCACCAAGGATAAGAACCCTGGCTATGGCCGGGTGCAGTGGCTCATGCCTGTAATCCCAGCACTTTGGGAGGCCAAGGCAGGCAGATCACCTGAGGTCGGGAGTTCAAGACCAGCCTGAATAACATGGAGAAATCCCGTCTCTACTAAAAATACAAAATTAGAGGCCGGGCACAATGGCTTATGCCTGTAATCCCAGCATTTTGGGAGGCCAAGGCGGGCGGATCACGAGGTCAGGAGTTTGAGACTAGCCTTGCCCACATGGTGAAACCCTGTCTCTACTAAAAATTTAAACTTAGCTGGGCTTGGTGGTGCGCGCCTGTAATCCCAGCTACTCAGGAGGCCGAGGCAGGAGAATCGCTTGAACCCAGAAGGCGGAAGTTGCAGTGGGCCCAGATCGCGCCATTGCGCTCCAGTCTGGGCAATAGAGAGAGATTTCGTCTCAAAAAAAAAAAAAAAAAAAAAAAAAGCTGGGCGTAGTCGCGCAAGCCTGTAATCCCAGCTACTCAGGAGGCTGAGGCAGGAAAATCGCTTGAACCTCGGAGGTAGAGGCTGTGATAAGCCAAGATTGTGCCATTACACTCCAGCCTGGGCAATGAGAGTGAAACGCCATCTCACAAACAAACCAACAGAAAACCCCTGGCTACACAGAGACAAAAATAATAGGCGTGGCCCAAACATTAATAATATAATCACACCTATCATGTATTGAAGACCTCCCTGGTGCAGGGGTTGTGCTGTCTCAGCGTTCCATGCACCGTCTCATTTCTCCCTTGTCACAACCCTAGGAAGTTGCATTGATTCTTCTCTCCAAAGAAGTCTAAGGATCAGAGAGGTTAAGCAACCTTCCCAAGATCACACAGCAAATCAATCTTTTATACTTTATTAAGTTTTCAAATAGTATCAACTCGGTTTTTTTTTTCTTTTTTTTGGTTGGGGGAGGAAAAAGGAAGTGAAGGGCAGAGGTCAGGAGGAAGCTTTGGGTCCCCTTCGTTCTGTTTTCATGACAGGGGTGGGGGGCGTGGTTTGGGGTGTGCCACATCCTGGCACTTACTGAAGGACCTCCCTTCAGTCCCCCGGCAGTGTCCAGAGACACGTGAATGCTGGATTTAACATCCTTGCTCCTTGTCCATCTCTGGGCCTCAATTCCATCAACGGTATGATGGAAATTGTGCTCTCTGCTTTTTCTCAGGGCTGCGATGAGGATTAGGGTAAATGCCTGTCTTACAGAGAAGTCCCTGTCCCTTCTGAGTCAGCTTCTCACCATGGAGAATCTGTGTAGGGCATTCTCTATCCTTTTCCTGCAGAATCAGATCTGAGGCTGGCGGTACAGGAGGGGAAACTGAGTCACCTGCTGCTCCTGGTGTGGGGGAGGTTAGACCATGTAGAGCTTAGAGCCTGGGCGTCTCGCTGGCACGATGGTTCATGACTGTCATCTCAGCACTGTGGGAGGCTCAGGTGGGAGGATCACTGAAGCCCAGGAGTTTGAGACCTGGGAAACATAGCAAGACCCCCCCGCCCCACCAAATCTCTATTTAAAAAAAAAAAAAAGGCCAGGCACGGTGGCCCACACCTGTAATCCCAGCACTTTGGGAGGCCAAGGCAGGTGGATTGCCTGAAGTCAGGAGTTGGACACCAGGCTGGCCAACATGGCAAAACCCTGTCTCTACTAAAAATACAAAAAAAAAAAAAAAAAAAAAAAAAAAAAAAAAAATTGGCTGGGCGTGGTGGCAGGTGCCTGTAATCCCAGCTACTCAGGAGGCTGAGGCAGGGGAATTGCTTGAACCGGGGAGGCGGAGGTTGCAGTGAGCCAAGATCGTGCCATTGCACTCCAGGCTGGGCAACAGAGCAAGTCTGCCTTAAAAGAAAAAAAAAAAAAAAAAAAGGCCGGGCATCATTTGCAGAAATCCAAACACAACAGTGGGATCTGGTAAGACTCGTGCTTCAGCGTGGCCTCCTGGTCCCGAGGCTGATGGCTGGTGGTTGAAGGAAGAAGGGCTTGTATCCAAGGCAGGGTCCTTGGAGCAAAGTCCCTGGGTGACACCCTCGCTCTAGATCCACGCGACCCCTCCCTGGGTCCCTTCCCACCTACTCGGCTGGTTTCAGGCTGCGAGTCCTGAGACAGTCCACTTCCCCTCCGGGGGGCCCTCCCGGGTTTCCCCTCGTAGCCAGATTATTACAAAAGCCAATTCAACCCGGTTGGGTGTTGAAAGGCGCTTTTAATAAATTGTGCGAAGAAGCTATAAACTGTGTCTCTCGCAGGAGAGGCTTTGAAGTCAGAGGACAGGCTGGGTACACTACACCCAGGCCGGTGGTAGTTCCCGCTGTCAGGTGGTGTTGGTACTAAGAATGACAAATAATAATAAAACATAATAATGACCCTGGAATTAGGTTAGAATGAAGGCACAGTGAGCACCGGAACAGGGTCACCCACTGGATAAGTGCTCAGTAAACGGCAGCTAAAGCAGCTGTCAGCACTCCCGGTCCAGAGGAATGAGGAAGGGGAAACTGAGTCCCGGAGCCCCCCAGGCGCCTGGTCGCACCAGCCAGCCCTCCCCGGGCCGGGCCAGGACGTTCTCGCCACTCGTGCCCTCCTCCCCCTTCCCCGTCCCCCGCCGGACCTCTCCCACGACCGGGGAGGAAGTGGGAGAAACGGACAGGAGAAAAAAAAAAAAGAGCTGGGCCAACGCCTCCCCACTTCCCACCTCCGCCCCTCGCGAGCCATGCAGACCCCCTTGTGCCAAGGAGCGACCCGCGCGGGCCCAGGCGTCCAGGGTCCGGTCCCCGTCCCGCCCCGCGGCCCGCAGCCGGGTGGGGGAACTCGCGAAGCCGGGAAAACAACCGCCCTCCCCGCCCCTCGCCAACCCCTTCCCCCGCTGACGCCCCTAGCGCAGCGGGGTGGAGGCGACTCCTTTATATAATCGCGGGAGGGCAGGTTGGTGGTTTCATTTAGGGACCCGGGAGCCCCGCGGACCCGAGCCGTCCTTGGCAAAGCCACCCCCCGGGGTCCCCGGCGCGGCAAGTCGCACTGAGGCCCGGGGAGGCCCAGCATCTGGCCTGCGGGGGGGCGCCCACCGCCTCGCCCCCCACCCACCCCCGGCAGCCCGGGCCGCGCGACCCACACGCCCGCGTCGCTCCTCGCTGTGCGCACCGCGCTCCCCGCCCCCGCTGCCATCCTGCCACGCCCCGGGCGTCGGGGGCACAGCCCGCGCCCCCCCGCACCCCGCCCCTGCGCAGAGGCTGGGGGCCTGTTTATCTGGAGGCCCCCACCCCCCCTCCACCCCGGGGGGCCCGCTCCCCCCGCGCCCCGGGGAGCTCTGGGGCCAGATAAGCTGGCAAGCTGGCACGGCGCCGCGCGGCGGGGCGGAGAGGTCAGAGGCGGGGGGGCGCGCCGGGGCGGGCCGGACCCCCCCCCACTTGACAAAACCTAATAACAGCCCGGTCTCCCCGGCGCAGCGGGCGAAGCCCCACGGGAGGGCAGAGACGTGGCAAGAGGGGACCTGCCGAGCCTGTTCTGGCCTCCGAGGCCGGGCTGGGGGGGGCGGGCTGGGCGTGGGGGGGCCGGCGGCTGCGGCACCTTTAAGACAAGGGAGGACCCCTCTTGCCCTCGGAGAAACCAGGAAGGGAGTCGCGAGCATCATACGGGGCTTTGGCTGTACTGTACAGTTACTGTAGGGGCAGTGACGCCGCCGCCGCCGCGCGAGGGAGCGACCAGGGCAGCGCGACGCGGGCAGAGCAAGCGCCGCGGACCCCGGAGGCGAGCGGCCGAGGGAGCCCAGTCCCAACTCCGGGCCCCGGCCCCGCGCGCCCCGGCCCGGCCCCGCGAGGTAAGTCAGCGCCCGGCGCGGCCCCCGGCACGGAGTGCAGGGCGGGGACGAGCGGGGGTCGCTGCGCCCACCGCTGCCCCCTCGGGAAGGGGAGATCCGGGGGGCCGGGGACGTTCCCCCAAGTTTCAGAGGAGGGGGTGGTTGGCAGCTGCCCGGAGGCTGGAGGCGCCCTGGATCCCGAGCGCGGGGAGGGGGCGCCACCCGGGAAGGGGAGATTGGGGGCTAAGTGCATGGGCTTGTGCGCCAGCCCCCCCCCAACCCGGGTGCATGGCTTTTCGGGGCTCCCAGGCGCGCGGGGAGCGGGGGAGGGGAAGCAGGGCTGCATTGAGGGTGGGGGGAGCCGGCGTGGGGAGATAGGGGGGCGCGTCGCCTGCTAAGTTTCCAGCTGAAGACGAGGGGCGCTCTCGCCCCCCGGGGGCCTATTCGGTGCTGCGTGCATACGTTGGAGTTGGCCAGGATTGAGCTCCATGGGGGATGGGGGGGAGGGGGCTGAAAAAACAGGGAGGGGGGCTTTGGAAAGGAGGGGGAAGGGGTGGGGTGTTCGGGTGGGCGGGCGGGGCCGCGGGGACCTCTGGGCGTCGTAGTCCCCCCGCCGTTTGCAGCCGGCAGGTGGCAAGCGGCTTGGACTACAAGTCCCAGGATGCCCCGCGCCGGCAGCCCGCCGCGGCCCGCGGGTAGGGGCGGTGCGGAGGAGGGGCGGTGAGCGGCGGGCCGGAGAGCCAATGGGCGAGGGCCGATCGCGCGGCGCGGCGCTGGGGCGGGGCCAGCCGGCCCGGGGGCGGGGCCTGGAGCCGGGCTCCCCTCGCCGGGGGCCGGTGGCGGTCCCGGCTTCCGGCTGCGCGGCCCGCGGGCCGGCCCCCTCCCCGCCCCGGGGCCCCTCCCCGCCTGGTTGTGTAACCGTCCCCAGCCCCCCTCCCCTCGGCCCCCCGCCCGTGGGGGGGTCACCCTCCCCGCGCTCCCCGCGCTCCCCGGGGAGGGCGGCGGCCCGGGCGGCCGCGCGGTGCAGGCGAGCCCGGGGATGCGCGGCCTAGCGCAGGCCGGGCCCGGGCGTGGGGGAGGCGGGCGGGCGGACCCAGATCCGGGGTAATTTGCATCGCCCTCCCCCCAGCCCGGGTGGGGATTGGCCGCCGGCGGCGGGGGGTGGCGCGGGGCCAGGCTCACTGCCGCCTCCCGGCCCCTCGGAGGGAGCCAGCCCAGCCGCAGCCGCCGCCACCGCCGCCGCCGGGGCCGGGCCCCCTCGCCGCTGCCCCGGGAAGGAGGTAGGAGCCCCCCGCGCGGGCGAGGCAGCGGGGGCCCGCGGGCCGGGTGGGGGCCGCGCGCTGCGGCCAGGGCGGGGGAGGGGGCCGCTTCCTGCCCCCGCCCGGGCCTGACTCAGCCCCGGGTGGGGGGCCCGGCCTGGCCCCTCGCCCTGCCTGGACGGCCGTCCGGCTCCAACCCGTGGGAGGGGGCGGAGAGAGCACCCCAGTCCCCGCCGTCCGCGCCCCCAAAGCGCGTGACCCCGTCTCCTCTGGCCCGGACCCCCCCCCTTCCCCTTGACGCCACCACCACGTGCGAAGCCTGAGCCCGGGCAGGGGAGGGGGGAGCTGGTGGGATCCGGCCCCCTCCCTCCCGCTCCCTACCTCCCGGGCGGGAGACCCAGTCCCCCTGGGCCTGGGAGCCTGGCCGGGGGCTGCGCCGAGCGCAGGAGCGGGTGCCCCCCCCAGGGCCCGGGCCTCTGCGGGTTCTGGGAGGCACTGCCCGGGCTGGCTGGCGGGGGCGCACGGTGGGCCGCGGCGGGAGGGTGCTGTCCACCCGGGCCCGGGCACCCAGTCGGCGCCCACTAAATGTTGGCGAAATGCAGCCAGGAGTTGGCGGCGAGGCGGGGGGAGGCAGCAATTCCTCTCCCCCCTAGCCAGGCGGCGGAAGTCACAGAGGTGCTGGTGCCCCTGCCACCCGCGGCACCCACCTGGCTCACCCATGGGTGGCGAGCTCGTTGGGCCCCCCCACCTCCCTGCCAGCTGCCTCCGGAGAGGGCGTCGGGATTCCGTGTCAGCCCCCCCGCCCCAACCCCAGAACTGGACCAGGGCGTAACCCTGAGCGTGCCGCTCCCACACTGGGGGGTGCCTCCCCACCACCGGCCGATCACTTCCTATTGGCAAGCTGGTCTGGGAGAGGTCCCGGGGAGGCCAGGCTGGGGCAGGGGCCCAGGCCAGGCCAGGCCTAGGCCCAGCCCTGCTGCTGCGGGAGCCTGAGGGCTTCAGGCCGGGGGCGTTTGTCCCCGAGGGCCACCCCCCATGGGGCCCCGAGAGCACCTATCGGCGAGGCCGGGGCCTCTGTTTACCACCAGCCATCGCTGTGGAGACAGAGCCTGGGGGAGAAGGGGGGGCAGGAGCCGGTCGCTGGAAAAGCGAAGTCTAAGGAAGGAAAGAAGAGCCAACCGGGACACTGACATTTTAATCCGTGGGTCGGTCCGGGGGGTATTTATTATTCAGTTCCGATTGGCTGCGTGGCGGCCAGTCAGCACCCGGGCCCGGGCGGGCAGCCACGCATCGGCAGAGGCCCGCGGGCGGCCGCAGGCGGTGGATGAGTCCTTTGCTCTGTGCGGGAGACTGAGGCCCGGCCGGCCGAGGCAGAGCCCAGTCTGGGGCCTGGTGGGGAAGGTTCCTGGGGTGATCACAGTCCCTGCTGGGTTTTTTGTTGTTGTTGTTTGTTTGTTTCTTTTCTTTCCTTGAGTCCCTCTGACCTATAGCTGGGTCCACCTGGTGGCAGATCCCCGTTGCCATAGGAGGAGGAAACTGAGGCCAGGAGGGGAGGTCGCATGTAAGCTTGGAAACTCCGGAGGTTAGATCAAGCCTCGGAGCAGGTGCTGGTGCTGGGCAGGGGAGACTGAGGTGTAAGGGGAAGCAGAGAGCGGCCCAAGGTCACTCAGGTGGAGTCAGAGCTGCCCCCTGTGCACCATCCTTCCAGCTCGGGGCCTGTCCAAAGTCTCCTCCCGCCGTGTGGTGGCTGAGGGGCGCCTGCTCCACCGAGGGGCGCCTGCCCACCTGTCTTTGAGCAGGGCCAGAGGTTGGCAGTAGAGGCTCAACTGCAGGCACCTGCCTGCAAATGGAGCGTCACCGACACAGGCTTATTAAACGCTGTGTCCGAAGATGACATTGAGGCTCAGAGAGGGCCAGCATGGCTCCCAAGGTCACACAGCACGAGCCACAGCCCTCTCGCCTCCCTGCCTCACCAGGCAGGCCCTTGCTGGCGCACGTGCGTATGAGGCCCCTCTCCAATCCTGCCGAGCAGGGCTCTGGGTTTTACGACCAGAGGAGACCGAGGTCACCTCACCAGAGCCGGCCCTCTGCAGCCCAGATGCTCCAAGGAGGGCTCCTCGGGTTGAAATGCCGGCACGCTTGCTCTGCGACATTGGACGAGCCCCGTGACCCCTGCAGCCGGGGTGTACTGTGTGCATGGGACTGAGGAGGGTCCCCCAGCTGGTGCCTGCAAAGTCACCCTTGTTGTCTTTTCTCCTCCGTGGCGGAAACTCCCAGGTCAGCTCAGGGCATGCCAGAGACCTGAGTGTGGGGTGTGGGTCAGAGCTGAGTGAGACACCTGCACCCCCACCTGTCACCTGCCAGCCCATAAACCGCCCTGCAGTAGCCCTGGGCAACAAGGACCAGAGGAACGAGCTTGGGTGGGGGTGAGCATGGTCCAATCCCAGCCCAGCCCTTGGGCCCACCCTGGGCAGTCACTCCCCCTCTGCCAGCCTCAGTCTTCCCATCGGGACAGTGAGGAGATGGTCGTCAGCCCTAGAGGGTTCCCTCACTGGGGCCTTGGGAATGTTTGTTGAGCGACTGCTGTGCACTGTGTCAGGCCTGTGGGGAGCTGTCTTGAAAGCTGCAGGGGCAGAGGCCCCTCCCTGTGCGGCCCATGTCAGCTGGACTCCAGCCCTGCCCCGGGCTCCCTTGCAAGGCGACTCTGAGGGTATGAGAATAAGCCGTCCTTCCTCTTAGCCCCCAGGGTAGGGGGATTTCATCTCCTGCTGGTATCCGGGGGCCAGGAAAGGGTATGGAAGGAGCTGTGGGAGGACTAGTCAGGCAGGCCGGAGCCAGATGGACAGCCTCAAATTCCAGTTCTGCTGTGTGACCCTCGCCAAGCTGCTCCCCCTCTCTGATCCCATTCCCCATCTGCAAAATGGGGCACAGACACAGATCCTGCCTTCCAGCACTGTGGGCGCCGGCGCATACCGTGGATCTCTGGGGCGATTATTGAGGCCCAGCCTCCCCCAGCTGCTGGGAGGAGCAGCTCTGGCCCTTGGGCCCCAAGCGCCGAGTCCAGAGCCCCAAAGCGCAGAAGGTGCCCCTCAGAGAATCCGGCGCTCGGGAGGAGCGTGGCCAAAGGACCGGCCCCTCCATCTGTCCCCCCAGCAGGCTGTGGACGGCCACTCAGTGGAAGTGTCGCCACCCACGCCTTTCTGGTTTGACTGGAAAACAAGGCCCATCCCACCTATCAGGATGCCTGAGAGAAGGATCCGGCCGGATTCTGCAGGCCGCTGGCCTCCCGGGCTGAGCCTTCCACCTGCTCAGGAGAGGGTGGGGGTGGGGCAGGTATCTCCAGGTGACAAGCAGGCCTCCCTCAGGGGAGGGAGAGAGAGGTCACCCCGGCCTCTCACAGGCATCTCGGCTAAGCAGGTGCAGCCTGGGCTGATGGCAGGGTGGACAAGGATGGGCTTCCGAGAGTCTGGCCTTGCTTGCCCCCAGTGACGGGAAGCTCAGCCCCTCCACTGTCAAGTTGTGAAGTTTCTCTTGGAACCTGGGCTCAGGCTGCAGTCTGGGCTTCCTGGCCCATGACACCTCAGATTGTGGGAACAGGGTGGGCCTCAGTCCCACCCATGAGTTGGGCGTCAGATAGGATCCCTCTGGCCTCCTCATCGCTGCCCCCATCCCCGCCGTCACACTTCCCACTGGGCCCCGCCGCCTTCCTGCCTCTGGCCCTTTAAGTCCCGGGCAGGAAGCCCCTCCCCATTTAGGGCAATAAATGGACACGTAAAATGGCCGAGGGCCTGTTTGCTCCATGTCTGGCCCAGAGGGAGGCTTGCGGGCGAGGGCAGGCGGGCAGGGGGCGGGCTGGCAGCTGGCAGCCACCCCAGGCCGTTGGTGCCCCCCGATCGGGACACTGCATTCCTGTCCCATTAAACCCAGGCCGAGGACTGGGCCAGGCGGGGCTTGGCACCAGGTCAGGGCGGGGTTACCCGTCGGGACTAACCTTGCAACACAGGCCTCTGGGCGGGGAGGGGGCGGGGGCTGCCGGGTGCGGGCCTGGCAGCCGCACCTGCACACCAGGCTTGCAATGTGACCTTGGGCTGGCCGCCCACCCTCTCTGGGCCTGGTTTCTCCTTCCAGCTTCCTCCTCAGACCCCACCACTCACTCCCTTGGTAGGTGAGGAGGGGACTGAATTCCCGGAATAGCATTCAGGAGCAAAGTTCCCATCCGTCAGGGGCGGTGAACGGCCTGGCGATGTGTTTTGGGGACTGGCTCTGGCGCGCAGTAGGTCCCTGGGCTAAGTTTGCTGAATGGATGTGAGCGGGGACCCTGACCACAGTGGGGGGCCCCTTTCCACTGTCACGTCCCCCAGGAGACGGAGGCTCAGAGAGGTCTCGCATCTTGCCCAAGGTCACACAGCGTGGAGGTGGGGGAGCTGAGGCTTGAACCCGAGCTGCTCTGTGCAGCACGTAGGAGGGGTGAGAGGTCCCTTTGGCCTCGTTCTCTGCTCTCCCTGGGCAGGGGGTTGGGTGGGGGCCCTGAGCCCCTCATTAGACGGCCCCCTGCTCCAGGAAGTGGCCTTGGGGAAGGTGGCGGGTGGCAGTTACCTGCCCAGCCCTCACCTTGTCATGTGACCTTGGGGAGGCCCCTGGCTCCCACACCCTGCACTAGCGATGCAGCCTCATCTCAGCCGGTCCCCCTTCCCCGGTCGCCCACCTCCAGGCCTCCGTTCCTGATGCTCCCTGTGCTGGGGCGCCCTTCTCGGGATGCCGGTGTCCTTCCTGGGCGACACCTGCTACTGCCTGAGCCATGTCAGGGAGCTTCCGAGCTCACGGCACATCCCCAGCAGAGCTGGGAGTGGCAGCCGCCCAGGTCAGAGGGCTGCTGTGTGACCTCGACTGGGCCACCTCACCTCTCTGAGCCTCTCAGGGACCTGGGAAGACGAAGGGAAGGTGCCCAGTTAGTTTGGGAGCACAGAGGAGGCCAAAATGCGGCCTGGGTGCCGTGGCTCTTGACAGACGCTACAGCAAGT